ATCAGTCCTTAAAGTGATATCCTTGCTCTTTAGCACTTTGGAGAGGTCCTTGACCAAACGTATTCACTCACATGACTATTTTAATGAATCTCTCCTATGCTTTCTGTAGCTGGCAAGGCTCTGGGGATAACAGCTAAGTAAAGCAAGGGGAAATTGCAGATGTATCCAGCTCAGATTTTGTTCTCAGAAAGGTTGTGTTCTCAGTTACACAAGAAAGGAAAGAGGGTCACACAAGGAAGTTACACTCTGCTAAGTAGGAAAAATTAGCACTTAAGGGAAACTTGTCCAGTGGTCAGGTGCATTTACATAGATAGATAGATAGATAGATAGATAGATAGATAGATAGATAGATGGAAAATATATAGTAATAATATATATAGCACAAAATCATTTTATGTATATGCCATTATTATCATCACTCCATAGATGATAAAACTTGGGACTCTGAGATAGAGAACAATGCCTCTGTTCTACAACTAGTAGGTAATATGGTCAAGGTGACCCTACTGGAAACATTTGTCCTATTTCCACCCATGTTCTTCAAGCTCCAAAGTAACATCTCTGCTGTTGTTGTTTGTTGCTAGTAATTTGATTCTGACTCATGACAACTCTATGTATGCAGCACAGACAGCTCCATGAACTGTGCAAAGCTGTGGTCTTTCTGGGTGACTCCCCAAGTCTACAGTTCACTAGCCTCTCTATGGGTTCAGACTTCCTACTCTATGGCTAGCAGACAAGTGTCTACCTACACAAGGACCCACCTGGAGGGTAGAAAACAGATGAACATAGAATAATGGTACCTGAGGCTAGGACAGAAGCAGTTGCTTTGCTATGGATTGTGTAGAACAGTGGCAGTTTCTGACTCAGGTTGGATGGAGGGCTGTGACATTGAGGATACTAGAAATTCTGTTTCTCACCAAGATCAAAGTCTTTTCAGACTTCCAGTTTCAAAGTGCAGGGGTGGCATACAAGGTTAAGGAGTCTGCCACTAGTCAAAAGGATGACATTTCAAACCCATTCATGGAGGTCTTGGATGACAGGCTTGGCAACTGAGTGCAGAAAATGTATAGTCTTGAAAACCCTCTGGAGCAGTTCTGCTTTACATACATGGAATCACCAGGAATCAGAAATCAGTTGGATCACAATTAATATTTGAAGATCTCGTAGGAAGTTTTACTGTCTGAGTTGTTGTCTAAATCCCAGATATGAAGAAAACCAAAACCCACTGCCGTCAATTGGTTCCAACTCATAGTGACTGTCCACCTAGCTTCCAAGGCCATAGGTCTTTATGGGAGGAAATTGCCATCTTCCCTTTTGCAGAGTGGCTGGTAGACTCAAACTGCTAAACTTTCTCTTTGCAGTCTGACATGTTATGACCTACACCATGAGGGCTCCACTAGGTTTGAAGAGAAACACCAAAAATCAGTGTAACTATAGTTAAAATTTTAAACAGTCCATATCAACTTAGACAGTGTTGGGTAGTCATTAAGAAGAGGGAATAGTAGAAATGACTTGTCTAGGGCATTGTATTACTTTTTCAGAGCTTGTGCAGGATTCTTAGATTGACTGGTTATAGAGACAGCCACTAAAAACATGCTTAGTGTCAGACCCTGAGGCCCAGGTTGCTCAAGGCTTGCTACACATATGTAATTTCTCAAAAGAGTCCACTGCCTAATGCAGAATTCCAGCACTCATCAGTCAGTTTTCAATATAGTGGTTGCGAGTCTGTTGTTGTAACACTATAATCTATGCCAATACTAACAAAATGCATCACCCCTGGTGGACAGGTTTCAGTGGGGTTCCCAAAGAAAGGCTTAGACTAAAAAGAACTGGCCATCCACTTCTGGAATAATAGGCCCTCAAACGCCCTGCTAATATCAGAGAAACATCTCTTAATATAGCACAGGAAGATGAGTCTCTCAGGTTGGTTGTTACTCAGAATAGGATTGGGCAACTCCCTCTTCAGAGTCCACCTTAATGAATGAATATGGATGAAATAAAGTTTTCAACCTTCATATGCAGATATAGAAGCACTCAGAATGAGGAGAAATGGCAGTATATACTCATTAATAATTGGAACATGTTATTTAGTATGCATGAATCTCAGAAAATTAGAAGTTATAAAAAAATTCAATAGAATGGATAAAAGTTGATGTCCTGCATATTAACTAGCTGGAATGGCCTGGTATTGACCATTTTGAATTAAACAGTCACATAAGATCTGCTATGTCAAGAATGGTAAATTTAAGAGAAGTGGTGTAGGATTCATCATCAAAAATAGCATTTCAAGATCAATCTTGATGTACAATGCTGCCACTTATAGATAATATCCCATGTGCATATAAAGAAGACCTGTTAATACTACTATTATTCAAATTTATATATCAACTA